AGGGAACGAGGGGGGGGTGGAAGTAGCAATAATTGGGAACGAGGGGTAGAAGTCGCTGAGGGTTAGACCACTGTCCACAGCTTTTTCAACGCTGTGCCGAAGCTTGTAAAAAACCAACGCTCACCTCAAGTGTGACGTAGCGCTCGAACTTAAAGTCGTGAAACTGGGTTTAGACGGTCACTGCAGATGCATGCGTTTGCTTCTCGCTGCAGAATTTGCTGCTGAAACAGGAGATGATGCAATGCACACACTTGTTGAGCTTCGCCGCAGTCGCATCTCAATGAACAGAGTCGGAGATTGAGAACGAGGCATAAACCTAAGCACACGAGTGTTCAACTTCGGCGAGCTCAGTGATGACCATCTGTTCCAGGATTACTGCTCGAGTGGCAGTGAGTACAGCAGAGCGATGCTACGCCAGCTACTCCATTGCAGGTGAGGAGAATGCAACAGTAAGTGCGTCGAGCGTCGAAGGAAGCACAAGAGACTCATAGCGCCGTAATTGTAGCTCCTATTGGTGTGTGCGATATCTTCTTGACGTCGCGGTCAAGGAAGCGAAGAAGTCACTTCAAGGACCACACGGCCTTGACGCCGTCGCACTTCATGTTCAGGGTGGTAAGACCCTCTCCTTGGAGGACGATCTTGGTCAACTCGACGTGCCACTCGTCGAAGTTGTCGACACCACGAAGGAGGTTCGTGACCGATAGGCTTGGACGGAAAGCAATAGTCGGGCGTTGTAGGACTCATAATCACGTAGAAGTTGTCGACACCACGTGGGAGGTTCGTGACCGATAGGCTTGGACGGAAAGCAATAGTCGGGCGTTGTAGGACTCATAATCACTTGGAAGTTCAGACAGTGCAGGGAGGCGCGGATGTAAGGGAGATCGATCGAGGAGAAAGTTAGCAGTGGTCGGAGGGAGGAGCCCATCCGCCTGTTAAGGCCAACTGACCAACGAGAGCACGATATCTCAACAACGTGACGTGGTTCTTCGCTACAACTAACTTCTACAGTGCGCGAAATAATCTTATGCGCACATTGAAATCTCCAGTCTATCGTGAATATTGTCGGATAAAAATAAGCACGAAGACTTCAGAGATTGCTTCCCATGAAGGGTATACCTCGAAGAGCAATTTCTATAGTATCATATATAGCTTGAGCTTGAATTTGCCAGCATATAGGAATATGGTTGAATTGACCCGGTTTGAGGCATCGGAATTAATTACACGAACACTGTTTTTAATTTTCCAAATGTCTGAAAACGCATTCAAAGTGGAAACAAATTGGCGCGGGGAATTGGCCAATGAATTGGCAACGTTGTGGCGCGAATGATGAAAACATTGTCAACCGCGTATCATGTCAAGGGGTCCCATGCTCATGGCATTGAAATGAGCCAAATTTTGGCCTGGAAGCACGAGAAGGCATCCAATCGTGAGATTGGACGTAAACTCAAACGACCTCAGGCATTCATGCGTTCGTACCTGAAGACCACGGGCACGTTCAGTATAAAGAAGTGGTCGGGAAGGCGCGTGCAGTTGAAGTTGACGAATCATGACATACCTCGCATTTACCGCAACACAATCGCCCTCAACTTGTCAGCAGCGCAAAGCGCTAAGACAATCTCTATGCGGGTGTGCCCGCACTGTTATCAACGTATTGAAACCGTGCAAGTTCATTAAATACTCAAAGATGCCTGTGCCGTATCTGAAGCCGCATCACAACAAGGCCCGTCGTGCTTTCGTTACAAAGCAGTTCGTGAAGCTGGACTTTTGTCATCAAGGCGTCAAGTTGTCTTCTTAGAAGTCCAAATTGAACGGCCTGGATGGAAACCGCGAGTACTGGCGTGACCTCCGTAGTAAACGAAGTACAGGGAACGACCGAAATCCTTCCCCCGTGGTACTAGAGAAATATCTTGAAATTTGTATAGGGCAAAAATATTTTGTAGTTGGGTTTTGCTGGAATTTTATTACATTGCACTTTTTCAGCTGATGAAGACTGCATTGTTATTGGTCAAAATTTTGGAATTTCGACGTCAATGAGTACTCACGACCAAGTTGTTGCGACCAAGTTACAAGTACAACGTGGTGATCGTGAATGACCCAGTCGAACACAACGTGCAGTTCGTCGCGGCAGAGCCGCCGCTGAAGTTGCCACGAGAGCACGGTTGGCATCGAGCAAACGTGCCATCGTTGAACGTACCAGAAATGCAGTCGGCGACATCTTCGTTGGCTCCAAAGTACCCCGTCCCCGGTGGGGGTTGGGGCACGCACCCCCCAGACCCCACCAAACGCCAAATCATCCGTTTTGTCTGTAGGGCACGGGAAGCATTGAGTCGACGCCACGTCTGCTACAGCGTTGTGCGGGTAAGGGGTGCAATGGATCGTACCCGAAGCTGCAGTGAAAGTGTTGTTCGGGCAGGGAGGCAAGACGTGCCGGAGGCGAGGGCATGCAGCCCGGGAGGACAGGCCGAACATGTTCCTTCGTTGGACGTGGATGTTCCTGAGAGGCAAGGGTTGCAAATCGATGCCCCTGACAACGAGGTGTAGCCATCTGAGCACGTTTGGCAGGCTGGGGACCGAAGCGTCGCTGCAAATGTCCTTTTGAGGAAAGCTACCGTGAGGGCATCCCGAACACGTGCTAAAGGTGTCATCGAGCACAAAGCCCAAAGGGCATGCCATGCACGTTCCCGCGTCCGTTTTGTTGCCTTTGCAGGAGCAAACCACCGCGCCCCACTTGCGAGATGGTCACAGGTCAGGTAAAGGGCATGCAAGATGATGGGTAGGACTGTCAAAGGCTGTAGGATCCAACTTCTGAAGCAACAACGAATGTATGTTTTGACTTAAAAATAATGATTGAGTGAAGGTGTCTCCTTGGAGCGATAAGATGAAAACAATTTCGCTCTGGTGCGATGTTCGAGAACGTTGCTGAAATTAGATTGATATGGTTATAGTCGAAGTGGCGTCACAGCGACGGACAGCGGGTACCAAACCTGGGAAGGCAAACTTACTTTGGCATCATGCGCGCCAAAGGTTGAACATATACGGATAATACCATAAAACCATTTGGATACGTATGGTAAGTAAACTACGTATCAGCAACAACATATTTATTTTTGTTTGACGACACAGCAAGATCAAGTTGTATCATGTCATGTGCTTGGACGTGGATGATATTGTCATCGATTGGCTAAAAGTATTTCAAATTTCAAGAGGATGCTTTTGGGTGTACATAATATTAATATTCCAGAAGTATGGTCGAGTACCACGGGGGAAGGATTTCCGCGTTCCATGTAGTGTCCTCGAAGCGGGTCAGCGGCGGAGGCAGCGTTTTGGTCTGGATGCCGTGAACCTGTATGGGAAGTCTGAAATCGCATTCCTTGAAGGACAACAAATCTCGGGGAAGTAATGCAAGACGCTGGAGACGAAACAGTTCCCGTTATTGGACGAAGCGCAAGATCGCCTCGAAGACCAGATGTCTGTTTTCCAACAAGATAACGCCTCTATCCACAGTTCCAAGGAGACGAAGAAGTTCCTTAAAGACTAGGGTGTCTTCGTCATGGACCGGTCTAGCAAGAGTCCAGATTTGAACGCTGTTGAGAACTTTTGGGGTAATCTAGGCCGCCATGTTGGTGGGCGACAATTTGACAATGTGTCTGATTTGAAGCGACAAATTGCTTCGTCGTGGGAAAATGATAGGTATCGGCTACTTGAAGACGCTTGTTGACAGCGTGCCTACGCATTTGGCTGAAGTGGTTTTGAAAAATGGCGGTAGTATCGACAATTAGCCCAGTGCACTTGAATCTATTTCCCGATATACGTATATTCTGCAATTTCTAGTATCATTAACTTTTAGGATAGGTTTAGGTATTTTTGCTCTTACACCACACTGGAAACTCTCTTTTACGTTAGGAAGGAGGGCATGATCAGATTTAACAGTCCGCGAGAGCATCGAGGGGGCTCTGATAATTCTTGAAAATCAAACAGGGGCAATATTACAATACCAACATGAAGAAATCTCGACCTGTGATATACCCCAAGTATATTACATTATACAAGTATTCAACTACATAAGGAAGTGCCTAAAAATGGTGGTAATCGATGGGGCCAATCGCGGCCGTGATTATGGCACTTATTTCATCGAAATCCGCTAAGAAATGAAGAAAATAGACCAAAATGAGTGAATTTTGGTCAATTTTGAACGGGTATTTTTAAGGTTTTGCTACACACGACCATAAAAACACAATGGTTATTCTTGACTGCAATTATTTATTTTTCCATATTCCCCAACCAATTATATTGTATTGAATGTCACAAGTAATCATTGTTCATGAGGCTGTTTTATGGTAATTCCCACAGTTTTTAGAACGTATTGTGGAGTAGATTGCATTTGAGAGTTTCCAGCCACAACCAACAAACTGAGGAAGAGCTGACGAGTAGATTGCACCAAAAATCGTGAAAATCGGCCACTTCTTTGCTAAAAACCTCTGCTGGCCCCCTCGTTGCTCTCGCGGACTGTAAGCAATTGTCAGCACTTCTCCCCAAAACCAAAATTTTCATGTGCGCATGCATATAGATGTTTCGCGCACTGTGCATGAGGAAAAAGCATGTAGACGACACGAAAATACTTCCTACCGTTGCAGGACCATCCTGCGACCTGAGGGAAAGAGCAGTGGTGATGCTCTAGACAGGATCGGGTGTACATAAAAAATGTCATCGCTACATGTAGAATTGTGAGACGAGAAGCACTCACCACTACATGGAGCTGTTCCTTAAAAAAGGTGAAGTTGCGGGAATGTAGAACGTTCCACACTTCCACTTTAAATGGTGTGATGGCTCATGGATTGGAACAGGTCGTACTTCGTAAGCAGGACCTGTTCCAATCCATGTGCCATCACACCATTTAAAGTGGAAGTGAGAAACGTATTACTTTATATCGGCAGAGAATTAATTCTGACAGGTTTCCCCCGGTTCATTCGGTTCAACCTGAACCGGTGAACCGGACCTGCAGAAGGAATTGTATTGCCAGCGGGCCGTCCACACATCCCACCCGCCCTCCGTGCCCACCATGTCCTCTGAAGAAGACCTGCGCTCCGACGACGACGACGAACAAGAAGAAGACGACTTCTCGGAGGAAGAAGAGGAGGAAGTGACTCCGAAAAAGCGCAAAGGTAGCGCCGCCACCAAGCCCAAGAAGAAGAAGAAGCCCAAAGTCATGAGCTTCATCGATGACATGGCAGACGAAGCGTCCGATGATGAGAGCGAAGACGACTACGACCGGGGAGATTTCCTCCCAGATGAACGTCATCTTGCTGAAGAAGAGAAGGAAGAACTTGACCACCAAAGCCACCACCAATACAATCAGCACCGCAATTCCGCTGCGCACAACGAAGACGACACGGAAGAGATCATTCGTGAACTCAAGAAGCGTTCCAAGCAGCAGAGTCGTCGAGGAAACGAAGATGACGAAGAAGATACTGTCGAGTCCATGCAATCGGCAGTCGCCCAACAGGCTTTGTTGCCTTCTATCCAAGACCCGCGCATGTGGGTGTTTAAGTGCAAGGTACCCTCGCCGTCACGGTGCTTGCTTGAATGCCATCAACGAGTATTTCCTCTAGCCGGGACGCGAACAATATTTGGTCATGGCCCTCATGAACAAGTTTCTGGAGTTTGCAAAGCGGGGGACACCTTTGCCCATCAAGTCGGTGATTGCTTCCAGCTCCAAAGGCTTCATATACGTCGAATCGGAGCGCGAACCGTACGCGAAAGACGCTGTTAACGGCATCCGCGATATCTTTCCGTGGTCGATGAAATTGGTCCCGATTCACGAAATGACGGCGGTACTGACCATCCAGAACAAGAAGACTCCCGTCACAGCCGGCTGCTGGGCTCGCTTCAAGCGCGCGGGGTTATACAAAGGCGACTTGTGCAAAGTGATCGAAATCATCGACAACGGCTTGCGGGTACTGCTCTCGATCGACGTCGCTGCGTCCATACAGCGCGCGCGGTACCTGTGCGTCAAGAGTGTTCACCATAGTGTAGGCGATCGTCAAACACATTCCCCGTCTCGACCAAATCGTTCTCCAAGGAGGTGAACAGCCCAAGTACAAGAAAGGTCAACGACCGCCACTCAAGCTGTTCAACGTGGCATCGCTACAGGGCACGTCCGCGGAAGTGAGTCGCAAACGGCATCCATTGCTAGGTAGGACGCATCTTGCTCGCGCTACGATGAAACCTCGTGTGCTGTGGTGGTAGACGTCATGATGGACTTTTTCGACAACGAATGGTTCAAAGATGGGTTCCAGTACAAGGAGCTCAACATTGCCACGATGTTGCAACTGGACGAAGTGAACCCGACGCTGGACGAAATCAACAAGTTTTCCCACACGACGACGGACGGTGACTCGGACAACGACCAGCCGTCGTCGTCTGTCGCCAAGCTCGACCTCGGCGATGCCGACGCGTGGAAAAACAAGGTCGACTTGACCAAGGGCGACACGGTCAAAGTGATTGAAGGCGACTTGATCAACCTGTTGGGGGTCGTCGTCGGCACCAACTCGAACAACGACACTGTGCGCGTCATGCCACTCCACGACGAGATCAAAGATACGATCTTGGACTTTCAGCTCAAGCAACTGATGAAAATCGTCAAGGTATACACTTGCAACCGCGCTTCTCTCGCTGCACTCGGTGGTCGACGTCGAGCGTTCGTTGCCCTAGGTGGGCGCGCACATTAAAGTGGTGTCTGGACGGTATTCAGGGGAAACCGGCACGGTCGTGAGCTTGGACGAGTCGCTTGGGGCGCCAGTCGCGATTGTGCTCGTGGATACCCAAGCCAAGGAAATCCAAGTGCGCGTCCGCGACATTCAAGAGTCGGCTGAAGTATCGCAAGGGCTCGACTCGCTCAAAGGCAAGGAGCTATACGATTTGGTCGCGGTACGCCATTGTGTGTGTTGGGAAACGGTGTGAGTTGACGCAAGGGGTAGCTCCCCCACGGCGAAGTCGGCGTCATCACGCACGTCGGGCGCGACAGTTTTACCGTGCTCGCTCAAAACGGCCAGACGAAGAACATTGCGGACCAGGAAATCCAACGCAAAATCTACTCAAATCGCGCGTCGGCGCTGGACAAGAAGGGTAACCCGATCACTGTCGGCGAAATGGTGCAAGTCGTGGAAGGTTCATTTGCGGGCCAAACTGGCACGATCAAGCACATTTACCGCAGCTTTATCTTTCTGCACAACAACCGTGTGGTACAGGCGCCGCGACCACCTCGCAACGTGTTGTGACTTTCAACGTTCTTAGACGATGAACGCGGGCATCTTTATGGTGCGCAACAGGCAGCTCGTGCTTTCAGGCGACAAAGTCAAGTCCAACTCGAGCACGCCTGGAATCGGTGGCGCAGGAGGTCCAGGCGGAGACCGCAACGGCGGCCGCGATCGGCAACAACAGCAACGAGGCGGGCCTCGAGGCGGGTTCCAGTCCGACTTGGTCGGGAAAACCGTCAAGATCAAGCGCGGTCAGTGGAAGGGGTATATTGGGATGGTCGTCGACGAAGGCGATACTACGGTCAAGGTCGAAATCCATTGCAAGTCCAAGTGTGTCGAAGTCGAAAAGAAGATTGTGAATGTGGCAGGAGATCGACAAGGTGTCCATGTGGACCGTACCCATGGAGGCACGACGATGTCGTCGCAGACCCCCATGGTGAGCCAAACGCCGCTGTATCACAGCATGACTCCGATGGCGACCCCGCTGCATGCGCCGCGGACGCCCTCGTCGCGACCGGCCTATACGTCAGGTTCGAGGACGCCACAGCAAGATGCATGGTCGTCGCACAACGACGATGCGTTGCTCGAAGCAAACGTGCCACACGAGCGGGAGATATCCCACGGTATGTCTCGATGGGCCATGCCCATTGCATGGCCAGCAAACCTTACGACTCCATGCCTCGGTAGCGCAAAGCTTTGGCACTCCACTGGAACCTGTTGTCCCGTCTGAGTTTGGCGTTGCCAGCACGTATAAGCAATCGAGCTACAACGACATGAACACGATGCTGAACCACCCGACGACACCTGGGCTCCTCAATCCGACCACACCAGGATTCCAAGGCCCATACAGCACACCGGGCGGCCTCCAACCGACGACGCCGTTTGTGTCAACTCCTGGAATGCCACCTGCACAAACGCCACTGCAGACGCCGTTCCAGAGCCACCATTCGTTTGGTCCAACTACGCCAGGCATCAACATGATGCACCACCACCACCCGACCACGCCCGGTGTGATGAACCCGACGACGCCCGGTTTTTCGGCATATACCCCAATGAACCCCACAACCCCCGGTCTGTTTGCAAAGGGGACGCCCGCGGCTGCGACACCGCATGGCGTTGGCATTGGTGCTACGCCCGCCCCCATGACACCTGCCAGTGGTCTGTACTACGACAGCGGCATGGGCGGGTCTAGTGGCGGCGGCGAAGCGTCGTGGATGAGCAAAGGCGTTGTCGTCGAATCGACGAGTCCTGGCGAGCACTACAAGGCCAAGGGCGTGATTGTGTCGGTGGGCCATGACACGTGCCTGCTCGATATCCGAGGGCAGACCGTGAGCATCCACGTGGATTACCTCAACCACGTGACCCCCGAAAAGGGCGACAACGTCAAGATCTTGGTTGGGGACGAAGCCGGGATGACGGGTGGCCTCATCGGGACGGACGCCCACGACGGAATTGTCAAGATGGACGGCACGGCCGAAATCAAGTGCTATCCTTTGAGTCAATTGGCCAAAGTGGTCACCAACTAGTCGGATATCCCAAGCATCGTAAATGTATTTTGAAAGAAAATTCAAACTTCTTGGCTTCTTGGGCTGTACGAACCAACGGTTGGTGGTCGTGGCTGAGTGTGCACTGGAGGTGCTGCACTGGGTGGCTGGGCCCAGTGCCCCTTCCAGTCAGAACACCCGGCCTGCCCCTCCAACTCTTCCGACCTCTCCCGGAACACCCATGAGTGCCCATGGATCACTTGCCCAAGCCAGGGCTGGCCTCGCAGGCCAGCCTTTGAGTGGCCGGTTGCACTTCAATACCCTTCTCACATCTCCAACCGCAGAACTTCCATGCTAACGGGATGTTGGACGGCGGGATGGTACGTAGCATATACTTTAACAAGGTGATTTAGATGACGTTGAGGTTCTACAAAACGTTCAATTATGTCGTTTCGTTGTAATTTTGTAGCAAACAACATAGTTCGTGTCGTCGTGACATGCGACAGACCTGTTACCCAATCGCCACTTGACGACGATCCAGCCAATCAGAATGCATTGCTGACCTACAGCTAACTTGAAGTTTGGCGATTCGTGGGGGGACCCATGAATTCCTTACAGAACGTGATTGAACCGAATGGGGGAGTGGGGACAAAATCACCCTTTGAGATTATTTAAAACGTCTGCAGCACCGTATCAGGTGATTTGTATACCACTTTAAATAAAATGTAGATCCATTTTGCCATATTCCAAGCATTGCAACATTTTCATGCTGGGCATTTGTGAAGAGTTCTCACGACACGCGCACAGCCTAGAATCATGGCGCTTCGATTCCTCACCAAGTCGATGCCGTTGGCGGTCGCCCGCACCCAGCGCCGATTTTTGGCCCCGTCGGCTTCTTCGAAACACATGTCTACGGTTGTTGGATCGGGTACACACAATGGAATTGAGCAATCTGCTCGAAGACTACTTTGTAATGTCGCGTAGGCGAGTTTCCTGGTGGACAAACAGTGCCGTACGTCAACACGATCGCCGTGGTTGACCCCAAGGAAAAAGACGTGATCCCTGCCTACCGCATCCTCGATCAACAAGGCAAACTCGTTCCAGGTGGCCAAGTTCCGGAAGGATTGACGGAGGAAGTCGTCGTCGATCTTTACAAGGGCATGATCCGCTTGAACGTACGTTTCCCGTTCGCTGGATGCCTACCTACTGTGCTCATTGTGAAATCGTTTCCATGTAGCAAATGGACAACGTGTTTTACGATGCCCAACGACAGGTACTTCATCGATTTGACCGCACGTCGACACCATCATGCGTCGCTCGCTAGGGTCGCATTTCGTTTTACATGACTGCATTCGGCGAAGAAGGCACTTTGTTTGGCAGTGCTGCTGCCATCAAGCCTCGTACGACCCCCTCTCCATCATCCGTCTTGATTTCAATGTCACCGAAACTAACGGTATCGTTGCGTACGCTTTGTAGGCGACATGGTGTTCGCCCAATACCGTGAAGCTGGTGTGCTCATGTACCGCGGATTCACGTTGGACCAATTTGCCGATCAATTGTTCAGCAATGAAGGCGACTTGGGCAAGGGGCGTCAAATGCCAGTGCATTACGGCTCCAAGGAACTCAACTACCAAACGGTGTCGTCGCCACTGGCCACGCAATTGCCCCAGGTACGGCGACCCCCCCGCAACCTAGGGCATAATCTCTTGCTTGATCTAGGCCGCTGGTGCTGCGTACGGGTTCAAGGTCGCCAAAGAAGACCGAATTGCAATTTGCTACTTTGGCGAGGGTGCTGCAAGTGAAGGCGACTTCCATGCTGGTATTGGCCTTTTCGATCCCGATCCATTGTAAACTCACTTCATTCCTCACGTAGCGCTCAACTTTGCCGCGACCCGCGACTGCCCCGTGCTTTACTTTGCCCGAAACAACGGCTATGCTATCAGTACGCCTGTCAAGGACCAATTCCGTGGCGACGGTATCGCGTCGCGCGGTGCTGGGTATGGCATTCCCGTGATCCGAGTGGACGGAAACGATCTCTTCGCCGTGTACGAAGTGACGAAGAAGGCCCGCGAGTTAATCATGACCGGTGGCCGACCCGTCCTCGTCGAAGCCATGTCATACCGCCAGGGCCACCACTCGACATCGGACGACTCGACCCGATACCGCGAAGTGTCTGAGATCAAGTACTGGAAAGATACCAACTGCCCGATCAACCGATTGAAGCTCTACATGTTGGTACGACTACTTGGCGTCAAGTTTGCATGGGATCATAATGGACATGGATAAATGGGGTGTAGGACCAAGGGTGGTGGTCGGAAGAGCGAGACCAAGCATTGAAGGATGCCGAGCGCACCAACGTGCTGCAAGCGCTCGCCAAGGCAGAAGCCAAAGGCATCCCCGAGATGCAAACCATGTTTGACGATGTCTACCATGAAAAGCCGCGTCATATCCAGGTATGCCATCCGTGTCGCAGGTTGGGGCCATTTTGCATCTCATGGATATTTCTCGTTCCTTGACAGGAGCAAGAACAAGAGATGCTCGACCACGTGGCCAAATACCCCGACCACTACGCGTCGGATGGCCATTAGAAAACCAATTGAACATACCCCATGCAGACGAATTAAAGCGCCCTTTCTTCACTCGAACCGGACCTGCAGCACAGTGCAAGGCACTCGTTGCTGCGGGAGTTGTGTTTAAGCGACTACTCAGCCCATGCGACCACCAGTCTTTCCATTCAATGCAATACAAACAGGATTAACGTCAAAACTGGTGGCTGCAAGACCTGAATGAGCACACAGGGATCGAAGAGGAACGAAGGCCGCACGTCTGACGAACAGGAGGACTGGTTACGTAATTCTATCGCTCAGTACCTTGGAGTTGGTCACGTTATATCGAGCGCTCTTGGCTATGTACCAGGTAGATGGCATCCAAAGGTGCTCGCAAAGAGAAACCACGCACATAGCTAATTTTCCACTGCCATCGCGACGGGGCGGGTGGCGCACCGCATCTGCCTTCCCAACGTACCCCAACTGGCACATCCCGCAACAGGATGTGGTGAATTCTGGTCTGTAATTCAGCCAATGGTATCTTCGCGATTCCAAATGAGACATTTTGATTGGATAAAACTACCTTAACATGGGCAAATCAGATGGTCCGCATGGCGTGTGTCGCATGGATTTTATTGGAAAATGTCAACCACACACTTGCAAACTCTATACCGCCGGGCGGTACTTTTTTTAAATTCCCATGTTGAACCACGCCGACCTTGAAGAGGTGGCGAAGTAACAGAGTAGGGCCATCAATTTTCCTTTCCCAACTTGCGCACCTAGACTTGGTCGGTGCGTGCCGTCGTCCTCGTCCACCTCATGCCTCACCCTCGACATGTGCGTGTCTTGCAGAAATAACCCCCCAACACCATGAACATCCAAGTTGTGCGCTTCGAAGAAGTCCGTGGCAACGGCAGCAAGTTTGTGGTTCGTCCCGTGGATTCGCCGACGGCCACGAGGGTTTCATGTGCACCAACCATGTAGGGCTACGTGACGAGCGTCGAGCACGTTGCCAGTGGATCCAAGTGGGAACTTCCCATTCGATATTCCGTCTACAACAGCTTCTACATCAAGGTAGCGGTGACCAATGATACCTGCCGCGCTGACGAGTTGCGTGGTCGTTTGTCTTTTGCAGCTGATCAAGACGGACCCGTTGGTCGCGTGGTTCCCGTTTCCGAAGAAATCATTATTTGCCCCACCAAATGCCACGCGGCTTGACCTTCTCAACAAATTCGTCGCCAAGCTGAGTTCGACAACGCTGTCGCCCGAGGGTCAGAAACTCCTGGACACGCTCGTGGACGTCCCAAACTATGTGAAAGACCCTGTCAAGGCCGCGCCCCAGCCGGAAGCACCTGCTGCCACTAAACATGAACAAACTGAACCGTCTCCAACGGAGATCGCGACAGACCACGAACCGAAAGCAACTATTGTGGAAATACCAGTCGTCGAGACCCCCATGGAGAAAGCGCAGAACTTAGAGACTGTGGCAGATGAAGCTCCAGTGGAGGCCCCTGTGGTGGAACCCGAAACCAAGGTCGCAGCCAAGGAGCCACTTGTCGTGGAAATGCCTGTCGTCGAACCAACTATTGTGGAGATGACTAAAGCCGCGGTGGTGGATGCTAAAGCGGCTATCGTTGATGAGATTGTTCTCGAGGAACGTGTACACGCCCCAGTGGCCGCGAAAAAAAAACCTGCGATTGAATCTGACGTAGTCAATGCCCCGGTTGAAAAAGAAGTTGTCGAAGTCCCTGCTCCGGCCACCTCTGAAGCTGTACACATTCCTGCGGTTAAAGAAGTCGTGGTCGAGCAATGTGAAGTAGTCGACACGCCAGCAACAGCCGAAGTAGCGCTCGAAGTCGAGGCGATCGCTGCATCGGCAATCGACGAGACCACAGTGGCCGACATACCTGTTGCTGACCATGCTCATCCCGTTGAAATCGTCGACGACGTCGTACAAGTGGAAGAAGTAAAAGCTGTACTTGCCACGGACGCCGTCCAAGCCGCGGTAGAACCTGACACTTCGATGGATAAAGCCGCCCCGAAAGACGAATCTCCGGCGTCTGCTGCGCCAGTGGTAACAGGGAATATCGCTGTCGTGCCCGTGAACGTGTATCCCATCGGTGCGTCGCCTCCTTTGGCGACGGTAGTCCGTGAAGCAGCGGCGCTTGTTCAAGATTCTGTCAAGCAACGACCGAATCTCCTTAGCATCGACAGCGACGACGTGTACACTTCATCGAACGAAGGAGTGCCCCGGTCGGTAAACGACAGCTCGAGCAGCGTCGAATTCTCCACAACAGACGACGAAAAGTACTCCACGTCGACTCTGACCGAAGACCAGCGCAAGAAGCGCAACAAAAAGCGCGCAATCAAGCGCCGCAATCGAAAAGCTGCCGCACATGCCAAGCAGGCTGAATCAGTCGGGGCCACGTTATCGCAATAAAGGATTTTCCTAG